TCTCGTTCGCGTAGCAAATATAATGTATTATCGTCAATTTCACAACAACGTGCAGTTACCAGTTTAAAACTGATACCGAAACACGTTTATCGTTAAAACAAACTCCATCATTGGGCTTTTCAGCCGGTGTTTAAGAAAACATTCCGATGTTCGGATTTTCTTCAAATTAGACATCTGTCAGGCGCGAGAAGCGTACAGTGAAACCGACGTCAGAGTTGCCTGTTTCTCGGCACCGGCGTTGCTGCTCGCTTGCTTACCACCGCTGCTGCTGCTGTTGCTTCTGATGCTCGCGGCAAAACTGTATTATAGCCTTTCCTGTCGTATTCTGTCGTACAACGTCCTCCTTTGCCGACCTCCGTATAACTTCCACGATACCTTGCGATAAATACTCGCGCCGCTCTTTTTACGCGTTACTGCCTAATTAGCGTAATTATAAGATCCGGTCGTGGACCTTCGCCTCTCTCTTATTTCTTCCTTTCTCCTCCTCTTCCTGTCCCTTCCTGTTTTTCTTCGCACGGTCCAGTCGGGAGAGAGAGAGAGAGAGAGAGAGAGCGAGCGAGATTAAGCATTTTCAAAAGGCAATCTTGGCATTTTGAGGTTCAATTGGTAAATTTGTAGGATTTATCTGAAAAATAGGAATTGTTGGTATTTCAGATGCGCAATTATTTTTGACGACGGAATAGAGCAATTTAATTGTGAAATTGTTGAAATTATGGAAAATTGAACTGTTGAAATCTCTGTAATTTAATTTACCTCGATTACTATGTTTCTGTCCCAAACAGATTAAGGTTGCACTTTTGTATCTTACAATCTGCAAACAAAAATGGAGACTTGACGTATTGCGTGAAATTATATGTCAAAGTATTGCATTAAAATATTCTGTAATTAAAAAAATTCCAATTAACGATGAAATAAATCTGCAACCTCTAAGTTTTAACGCTTGATTGTTGCGTCGCGTAACAGAAAAATTCCCGCGTGCATTTCAGTGTCGCCTAACATTTTAATTCACGCGCACTTCCCCTTGCACGTTGAGTGTCAAGTGATGCGATGATAATGACCTTGCCGCGATGTGTTTTGTGATATTTTTGTAACGGCAGAGAATAACGGTGGAAAAATCAAATCAACGATCTAACGTCACTCTAGGAAAACAATTAATTATGAAAAGGAAAAATTGATACCGATAACGAGTGCACACCGATATAATAGATGAGTTGTTTGTTAACGACTAATAGACTGATAATTTTGTAAATGCAGTAGATAGCACGAAAGACATCGCAAACATTAGAAGACGATTGTATCCAGATCGTTATCTTTGACGTTTGAGAGACAAAGCTACGGCCGAGTTGAAGTGTCAGTTGATAACGAAAATCGAGATAACACGACTCGGTAGCGGCGAAAAGCTAGGATAAGTGGTATTTACACTGTTCACTATAAATTAGCTTTTAATGAATCGGTTCTAAATACCCTATATCGAAGAATCATCTAGTAACAGCGAAACGTTAAATATCAAAAATTTTGAAATCATAGAAATAGTCTAACCTATATTCTGTATGTATGTACATTCGATAAACGTACTATTGCTACCTAGTACAGCATCCCAAGTCGTTGGAAACAACTGCAACTTCAGTACTATTTCGCACCCTACGGAAAAGTGCTTCAATAAAATATACCTCACTTCCTTCTATCCCACCTTATTCTTTTATTGCAACTAGTTCTCGGCAGGGCAATGCTATGTAGCAGAATTTATGTTCTCGGACCGATCGGGCAGTTCAATACGCCGATGACCGTATTGAAGAATGCACGACGTTTCCTATTTACCGCCGCGAGGGGGCAATTTTCTTTAATAGTACAACACAGCATTCTTACCGGCGCGCGATACACACGCGCTTATTCGCACGTAACATTACATAATAACAGCAAACGAAACGGACGCCAGGCCGGACGCTTTCGAATGGGAGAGACGATGCGAACGAATGCCGGCGTGTCGCGTTTGCAAAGAGCAATCGTGCTCTCTCTCCAGACGATAGGAAGACAGTTCACTGAAAACAGTTTATTATTAATAGATATGCCTCGGTTTCCCGAGCGCGTTGTCGGCTTTATTTTGAGGTTAGGGCCCGACCATTCCTTCCTCAGCCCCTGCTGAGCGGTTGTCGTTTTCCTTTTGCCTCCTCCCCTCTACTCTTCTCTTAAAAACGAGACTCGCCACCGACTTTCCGACAAAGGAATAAAGAAAAGAAACAACTAGCCACGCTACGCGGTTGAGGATGGCACGGCAAACCGTAGCACAGCGCAGCACAGCACGGCATAGCGTGGCATGGTGGGTAGAGACTTTCCGTACAGGGAGAGCAAGGGGGTACTTGCCGCGTCAATGGCGTAGATACCTGGGGACGCTGTGTCCGAGCAAGTTTTCTTTCCCTTTGGTTTACTGTACTTTTGCGCTCCTAATCTTCCAGGATCTCGACATAGCGGTGAATTTTAATTACTTCTCGTTGGCGTAGCTGGCGCTGTTTTAATTGACCGGATACAAAGTTTCATGGTCGACGCAAAATGAAAGGTAGTTGAAGCAATTCGTATGTTTTGCATTGTTCGTTATTGGTTAATTTTTATTTATAAGATGATTTTTTTATTGCAGATGTTGATCGAAATGATTACGTGTAAGTGGGAGAGAATGATGGTGTTATTTTATGAGTAAACAATTGAGCAGTAGTTTTGATGGAAAATCCTGTTTGCAGGCGACAGGATGAACTGCCACTGAGTCTTGTGTATACATGACAAAGTGCTTTTCGGTAAAGTTCATTCATTACATTGTCAAAGGCGACGCCTATGTTTCTTCTGAAACACCGCTAGGAGATAATAGCGTGCGGGTACAGTCTCCAAAAAGAGTATTTCTCATTTATCCCACTGCACTACCACACTCACATGCTTTAACCTTGAATAACTGAAAAACAAATAACAAAATGTATAGGAAGCGTGGAAATTTATCTCGGTTTTTTTAAATTACGCCGATCTCCGGAAACGCTGCAGGCGAACGCATCAAGCCAAATCGTTCTCCTAAGTGTAAAGGTACTGTACATCGAGATTCAGGAAGTTGCTTGAAAATGATGAAATATAACTTAAAATTGCTCAATTTATAGTCACATCTATTTCATCCTCATTTTACTTTAACAATCTAGTTACTGCTCGACTTCCGGATGATACTTAGGTAACATCGTTTTTACAACATCGCTAACAGGATTCACGATGACCCTCGATGAATATTCCGCCACAAAGTAAGGTGGTAATATTAATAAAAATAATTATCACTATCTGTGGCAAAAGAGAGATCAAGGTGTGGACCAGAAAAAAAAACAACGATGTCCCTAAACCATTATTCATTTGGTTGTGTTCGCTGCGACAGAAGGTACAGTAGTCAGTCATGCGTCATTCCGACGAATTACGGGATTCCAGGGACGATTCCGACGATGCGACGATTTTGCCCACAGGGACGACAATTCGGTGTGGGGTCCTTTCAGAGTGGAGGCCCGTTTTTCCGAATCCTTTAAAAGCGACTTTCTCTGGAAGCGAATCGGGGCAACGTCCGCGCTCGATTGCCGGCGCAAAAATCCGGCGACGGTTTGTTTGTGGCCGCGATAATCGAAATCCTTAGGAGGCCCCCCGATTCCCTTTTTACGCATGCCGTTCGACGTCGCGGCGTCGACATTTAGTGTCGTCGTAGACCACGTTGAACCATCATCGGCTTCCTTCAAAACCCCACCAGCAGTGCGAAGCTATCCTTCTTCGCCGCTCTCATAGACCTTCGCTGGACAAAAAGGAAGGAGAGAAGAGCCGGAGAAAAGGAAAGTATACGCGTGGTTAGTACGACAAAACGAGTACGATGGTAAAAGTGAGAAGGGAGGAAAAGGGACAGAGAGAGGACAAGAAAGAGAGACAGAGAAAACATAGAGAATAGGATAGGAAACATAGAAAAGGAAGAAGGCGAGGAACGGAGAGAAAGGAAGACAGAGTGCGATGGTATTACGGGATGAAGAAGGGAATAGGGTAAGAGAGAGATTGTCGGTATAGCTAGAAGGAGAAGAAAAGGAAAAGGAGACGGATCTCAAAGGAGAACAGAGAGAAGCTGACGAAAAAGCGGAAACGGGAGGGAGGTGAAAGAGAGACAGATAGAAAGAGCGTGAATCGGAGGTTTCGAGCCGCGCCTCCTACCTTCAGGGCCCATGTATCCACGGCTCGGCACTGTTGACGACGCAGCGCCCTATGGAGGGGGAAAGGGAATTACGGGGAACGTGGTTTAGGCAAGAACGATCGTCCGTAGTCGTAGTCGGGCCACGAGTCGAGCGATGTCGTGTGACCGACCCTTTCTCGTCGCGGCCGCGTTTCTTTCTCTTACGGCGACGCTTTTACCTGGATTAAATTCGACACCGAGTGTTGTTCGTTTCGCGGCCACACGGTTGTGCGTGTAACTAATTCGGTGACAGGGGAGCACGAGCATGCGAGCACGAACGTTTCGCCCTTTCGTCGAAGGCACGATAAACGGAAGATAGAAAAATAAGAGGCGAGAATCGGGCCGCTGACTGGGTCGCTCCCAGCACCAAAACGCTGGCACAACCCTCGAAAACACGTGTTCGTCTGGTGCGTGTCGCACACGTCGATTACCGTGTGATCGGCTGACGTCGAATGAGTATTACCAGGAGAGCATGAAGTTCGCGGAAGTGTGTTTGTTTTCCAGTTTCTAGCAGTGCTCTTTACGGTGAACCGTGTGCACGGGAAATCGGGCACGACGAGAGAACGACGAATGATCGTCAGGTGAAAACACTGTGCTCTTTTCCATATCGGGCACGGCGGTATTCTCAATAGTGTGACACACGGCTGCTGTCGCGACGCGAACGAACAGGAAGAATTTCATACGGTGACGAGTTTGAAAACAAAAATAAAAACAAAGTGGCGGAACAAGAAGCCTGGAAGGAAAGTGTGCGCAGCGTTTGTGGATGCATGAGGGTCTCATGGCTACCGGATTGGTAAAGTGGTGGCGGGCAAGGTTCCTCGCTGGCTATAGACCCTTTTCTGGTAAGCTTCTATAATGTCTCTCTCCCTCTCTATATCTGATCTAATTTTTTTCTTCCTTTTTTTTTTTTGTCATATACACGCGCGAGGTATCGATGTTCGTCGAAATCGCAAGGCACGGATAGATCGAGATATTCCGTATACGGATTTGTCTGGTCGGTCCGGTTATAGGCGTGATATTTTGCTCGAGTTGCGAGGCGCGCGGTGCGTGTTCCTCGATGACGCTGCTGCAGTATGACAGAAGTGGATCCCACGTGGTGTTACGTCATACTTGCATTTTTCTTTCTCATTGATCTATAACCATGTTTCGCTGGAAATCTCTATGGTGCCTAGCTATTTTTCCCTTATTCTTTTTGTACGATTGACAGGGGTCTTTGACAAAATTTCATGTGCAATGAAATGACAAATGGTTTTATTATTCTGGGGTAATTGGTCGGTATCGTTTTGAATAAATTTACCGTCTGTGAAATTACAGATTTAGGAGCGAGAAACATTGCTATTCTATTTATGCATTATTCGTGTAATTACACACAAATATTGAATATTCTTTGCACTTGTTTATACATTGCAATAATTGTATCATGTTACGGCTGTAAACACTTTGTTACAATTATTAAATCTTGTTTATTACTTTGAAAATACACGTGTAATGAAAATTAAACGCTAGTGTTGTACACTGGCGCTTGTCATTTTAAGGCTATTCAATTTCATGGCTATTCAAGTATTTAAACTGTGAAGATAACTATTTAAACATTTGTTACTTGAGTGTGTAGCTACTTTATCTGTAAATAACTGCTTTATCGTTACACGGTAACAATTTTTGAATAAATTAAAAGATATTTAATATACAAATATGACCTTATCACAAGGTATAATGCAGTTGTTTTATAAATATTAATTAACAAAGTAGAGAGTGTAACACAAGATGAAGGAATTTAAAAGAGAAACTATTTACGTTAATCTAATAAACTTTGGTAACAGGTGGATAATTTCACGGTTGTATAAAAATGAGTTAATACGTCGTTAGCCCATAATTTTTAATACTTGTAAATCTACGTTAGTGAAACAAACATAGCTATGCTCTACTCGAGGACTAACGTATACTCCTAAGAGGAAGGGTAAAAATAAAACGCGCTTCTAGTTAGCCGTGTTCCAGAATTCGAAAAATTTTAATTGACGTAAACTCTCGTTCGTAGATCTTGCAAATGCGTGTTCAAAAGTAGAAGACCGCTGACTTCAAATATTCTACTGTATTCAAATTATACAAATTTAAAAATTATCTTCAACAGAGACGACAAAATTGCATTCCACCAATTCACCGTTATATTCGTCGTCAAATTGACATTGCAAAAGTAAAAAAAAAAAAATTACAACCAACGAAATTAAATTTCATTTTATTTCAAACGTTACACGAGCACTCGTACAATCTCCCTAAAAAAAAAAAAAAACAAATCAAGTCCAGACACAGTACCAATTACAAACTACAAAAAACGAATGGCAGAAAAGAATAATTTCTCGTTTCAAATGAAAACAAAAACTTCGAACGTGCAACGATTGTTTTTTCATGTCCGTCGTTTGTTGCATCGTCGGCAAATGGGGAACTGGTCGAAAATCATCTCGACAATTCCCGGGCCCATCTAGAAAGCACGGTGCGGCGAGGAATCCCGCGTTTGAAGCTCTCCCGATCTCCGCTCTCTTACGGCCTCCTCTTTATGGCTGCTTTCTCGTGCGTCGCGGGGCAAATTTTCATACGTCAAGAGGGCGGGAGGGAGGAGTACGGGAAGCGTGGAGGGCGGAGAGGGAGGGGGGAGGGAGGGAAAGCTGTTGCGTCGGCAAATGATAAAAGTTACGAGCCGAGCAAACAGAAAGGGGTGATTTACAAAGAAGAAAGCAGAAGCCGTTTGTGTCCTGCTCCCCCGTTGCTTTTCATTCAAGAGGGCGCAAAAGCGGTACGGTACACACGGTATAAACACACGCGTGCGCGACCGCGCGCACGCGGGACACGTACACCGTGTGTACTCTATACTCTCTACGTACTACGTACTGCGTATATAGGTACGTACGGTGAAGGGTCGCGCGCGTCAAGGGTGGAGTTTAATTATCGAGACCTTGCGAGTTCGTTACATGCATTAGTCCGGTGGTTAGATAAAAGGTTTATCCGCGGCCATTCTCTATTTTCTACGGTATCAAACCAAAGATTCTCTATCTTCACTCACACTCTCTCTCTCTCTCTTTTTCTCCCCCCTCTACTTTCTCTGTTGATCTCGGTCCCTCTGTTTTCTCCTCGTCCTTCTATCGTTTCTTCCTCTTTTCTCTGTCGCGCACTCGCGCCGTTTCTCCCGCTCTCTCCCGTTCTTTGTCTCCCTTTTTTCTCCCCCGGTGCGCTCAGTGTCTTGGGTCTTTAACGCTCGCCCCACGAAAGAGTTACGGGCGTAATTACCACACGGCAGGTATCATTATACGCGTATATGCGTCCGTTTCTTTATGCAGATACGATTATCCGGCTTTTTCTTCTTTCTTTCTTCTTTTTCTTCTTCTTTTCCCTTCTTTTTCTCGCTTTTTCTTTCCTCCGTTCTCTCTCCCGCGTTCGCCGGTTTCTCCCTTTCTTTTTATTTCTCTCCACCCCTCCCTCTCCTCCGCCACCTCCTTCCTTCCCTCCCCCCTCCCCTCGCTCTTTTTCCATTCCTTTTTCTTCGCTCGCGCGCGCGTACGCGCACGCGTGTGTAAGAGGCTTGTTGCTTTTCTCCCTTTTCCTCCCGGGTTGCTCTTGAGTAATTGAAATTAGCGGCCGGCTTCATTTATTACGCGTTTCGTATCGCTAATTATCGTTGGTTCGCGGTCCCTTTGATGCCGACGTTTTTAAGTATATATTTTACTGGAATCACGCTGCACCGGCTTAATGATGTATCGCGCGAATTAAGATAAAAGCGGAGCCTCCTCGACAGAGAGAGAGAGAGAGAGAGAGAGAGAGAGGCCGAAGACACGGCGAACGATGGTTAGAGGGTAAACGTGTAACCGGTGGCCGCCGCTGTAGCACTCGAAACATTCTCCCCCGGCTACTCGGAACTTCGAGAACCGCCTCGGAACTCGTTTTATCGAATTCCGATTATTCCTGATCGTTCCTTTAATATTTTGGCCGATTGCTGGCTCGGGCGATAGAAGTCTGATCAGAGAGTCCTGTGCGATCCGGAGCCGAGAGTAGTAGCTTAAACGATCCTTACATTCGGGTACATTATGACCGTGTACTTGATGCACTTTAATTAGAATCGGAATGCCCCTTTAAATTATTTAGTTTATCTTATTGAGTCGCAAGGATTAAGGATAGAATTGGAGGAATTCCTGTTGGAGAAACTACTGAATAACCTTACGGGGGAGGGGGATATTAACGGGGTACTGTAATTGAATCCTAATTTTTCTGCACTCGAAATTCTTCGATAGGGAATGTCTCTGATTGTTCATTAGCGAACGGTGCGCGAGATTTTTTTTATTTTCTACACTTTTAACGAGTATCAATCGAGATTTTGCTCGATGTTCGTTAGTTGAATAGTGCGCAACAGTTTTTTCTGTTTTGTTGCACTTGTAGTGGATATTAAAGTGTAGGAGTTATCAAGGGGCTGTTTTAACTGTATCCTAATTTTCGAGTATTCGAAAATTCTTCAAATTCTTTCTGATTGTTTATCAATGAAAAATGAGCAAAATTTTTGTATTTTTACACTTACGACACAGCTGTAAAAATTTGTTACATGTATCGATGATCCACGATAGGATGAACTTAAATTAACATTTATATATCGCTGTCTAAAGATTTTTCATAAATAATTGAAACTGTAATATTTTTACATACTTGAATAACAATTCAATTCGAAATGTAACGTGTATTTAAGATGAGTTATAATAAATTCAATTTTTGACTAAATAATTTTCGAATTATTTTGAAAGAGGATTTGAAAGTAAATTTGTTTCAATTTATTGCAAATTAGGTGTACAAATTACCCGTCGATTTCGTTATAAGCGAGGTAGATTCGCTGTTAACTAAATAATTATAAAAACGTATAAGTACAGTAACGAGTAGTTTCTAATAACTTCAATTGTAAACGTCTAACAATTTTTCAAGCTTACTCTTTTTACTGTTTCTTGGTGATAAACTCAAGTAGGATGACTGCTTATTGCACCGAACGCAATTTGAAAAATAATGAAAAGTCTTTCTTGAAAAAGGAATTGCACGTTCTATTCTACTCGTTATGAAACAGAGAATGTTAAACATCTGTGTTTCACCGCTACTGCATCATTTTCCCAGGTGCTATTCACGCTATATTTCTATAGGGTTACGTCAGAGATTGGGAAATGTTGAAAGAAAGTACCAATACTTTCTATACTCTATTGTTCTGAAATGTCGCGCATTGCGCGTTATTATAATAATCGTTTACAGTGAACTTTCGATAAAACGCTGAGAAATTGTAAAACAATTTTTATAGGATACTTTTTCAGGTGTTTCGTAAGAGCATCTCTCCTATCGATAGTCTTTTCTTCTATTTTCGGCACACACACACACACACGCTAAATCCGTAGATACCGAAAATCCTTTCAACAGTCGTCCCTACGTGTGTGGCAAGGTTCGCTAGATAAAATCTTTACTCAAGATTCTCCTTTCCTTCTTTCGCCTTGTGGGTGGGAAAGAGGTCGCTTGAAATTTATTGCTCTCTATCAGTCTCTTTTACATTGACTTTGTAGTGTACAATCTTATCACAGTTCATCGACCACCGACACCGATGTTTTACAAATTAACACCTTTCTGCTAATTGTGTAATAGACAATGGACAATTATGTAATAGACGACGCTGAAATTAGCTAATTAAAAAAAGAAAACATCTTGAAATGCCTCAGTATGTTAAAATTCAACAATAAAAGTACTCTCTTTATGTAATAAACAACACTCGAATTCATTGCAGAAAAAGTAATAATAAAACACTTTCTTTAAATTGCTTTAAACACTTGAGTATGAAAGTTCAAGAATAAAATGAATTCTCTTTAAAGTATAACAATAAAAACACTTCTTCAAATTACCTGCTGTTGTCTGTTAAAAATTGAAGAATAAATTTATTCTCTTTATGCAATAGACAACGCTCAAATTAATTACAAAAAAGATAACCCTTCTTCAAATTACCTGCTGTGTTATCTGCTAAAAATTCAAGAATAAATTGCAAAATTTTAATTGCAACATTAATTACAAAAGGAAAAGAAAAAGAAACACTTCAAATTACCTGTTATCTGTTAAAATGTTTTCACATCTTCAAGTACTTGAATATTAAAACGCAGTAATAGAATTATTCTTTTTATGCAATAGACAACGCTCAAATTAATTACAAAAAAGATAACCCATCTTCAAATTACCTGTTGTCTTGTCTGTTGAAATATGTTTGCATCCTGAAACACCCTCGGTGCATTAAAGTATTCCCGCTAAATGTGTAACATTTAAATGTTGCACAATTATAAATAATTCATACCTGATATTTAATTTATTCCACTGAACCGTCCAGGAAGCACACAATCCCCTAACTGTTTTCAGCGATGCACTTCCTGCCGCCGCTAAAAACCTTCTTTTCTCTCTCTCTTCCTTTTTTTTTCTTTTTCTTTTCTTTTTTTTTTTAAACGCCCCGTGTATCGCATCACGGCGTGTCGTGTTTCATAGATGTTCATTTATGCACCGGTGGTTGCGCAACGATTTTCAACGTTTCATTTCGTAGAACGCTTTTATACGGGGCGTCTAGGTAACGGTAAACGGCGGTGTAATGCAGACGCATTAAAGATACATTACACTTCCTTCGGCGAGTGTGTGCAAAACGTTTCTGAAATATAAACGGCTGGAAATGGATGTTCCGCCAACCCCGGTTCGTCCCTTTTGGGGTGGAACTTTTCGTTAATTCGCGTCCGCGCCTGCCTCGGTTAACGTGCGAATAATTTCGGCCGTGCAATAGACCGAGAATGCATTAAAGATAATTACGCTTTTATGTACGGAGTCCCGGTCGCTCTGTAATTATGAAACAGCCAACCTTTTGATCTGTAATTTATGCGTTTAAACGCATACCATCTACATACACGCGCATACTTGATTGATTAACATTTTTCTACGTGTCTCTTATCGACTTTCCAATTTTTCAAATTTTCTCCTGTTTTACTATTGCTTCTTTTTCGCTTTTTCTGACGAAGAATCGAGGAGGCAAGGGACAGTGTGAATTACCGTGTAAAGAAATTGTGATAGATTTCGGTGTTTAGACTATTCTGTTGTGTTTATTTCTGGTGATTCGATGTTACATCCCCTTCAAAATAGTCCGAAAATACTTGCTACACTCCGTAACTTAAGTACCGAGTGGCACTCAGAAACTGGCTATAAATACAGGCTTTACCGTGGCGGATGTTACTTTGATACCTTTGAGATTCTGACTTTTGTTTACGAGCGATGCCGGCGCTCGACCGTAGATAACAGTTTCATTCTCTTTGATGAGAACGTTCATGCACGTGAAACAAAACTACGGGGAGAAATATAACGAGGAAACGTATAAAACAAGTACGGCACGCCCTGAGCCTTATGTACATTTATTACGCTTCACTTTCATGCGATCCCGATTTCCTCCTCATCCTCTTACCTTCAACGTGTCCTACCTTGTACAATTTCGCTAAATGCTAACAGCCTAATTTACTTTATACACATCTTTCATAATTTCATCGTCTCTCTGGAACATCTCGTACATCTAGCCAGTGTTTACTTTTCAAAGTTCCCGCGCTTTTAAGCGGTTCATTTTGAAAAAAGGAAAAAGGTAACTCCGCTGAAATTACATTTTTATTTCGAATAACTTGCATAATTTTCGATACACTTTTTGTCAACAAAAGCATTTAATTCTATATAGGTACGTAAAAATTCGAATGTCTGGGAGAAAGAAAGACGTAAATGAGCGGCTCGGAAGATAAAGTGACTAACTGCGTGGAGATGCAATTTATGAAAAATTGTGCACCAAGCATGCGCTTTGATACTAAAATTGGAGGAATATTAAAAAGTAGGGTTGATCATTTTTTGGCTTCCGAGTGGTTCTCGGAAAAAATCTGTTAGATTTATCAGTCAGTTAGGTGTAACAAAAATTAATCTATGGCCTTACTAGGAAGTATATATTTCTTTTGTATACGTTCGGAGAAATCCGTTTAGCCTTACCACCTCTGTTTAGTAAAGATCTAAATGTTTATGCTACGTGACAAAAGGCCCTTCGGTCCCAAGCGGGGTCGTAGACAATATTAGGGCGTTGCGTAGGAGAATTCTCAGTCCGTATACAGTACTCTTACCATCAAGTAGAAAAGCGAACCTTCCTTGTGTCCAATAAAAGTTTATAGTTTAAAATAAGGATCATTAATTATTTAACAACCAATAACTCACAGTTTCCTAAGGCCGGGTGCCATTATCACTGCAGAGTGATACAGTAACGAATTGGAGATCGTCGACGAAAAACTGTCCTAAAAAAAGCCTTATTTTCTTCCATGACAACTGTAGAAAAATTGCACCAACTGCATCCTAAATTCCCCTGATTTATCTACAATCGATATTCACATTTTCCGCTCACTCGACAAATTTCCTTGCGCAGAAACGATTTAGGAAACAGGAAGACATCGAAAACGCCTTTCAGCTATTTCTTTCAGATTTTTGTATACACAAAATTGATCCTCCCTAGGCAAACACTTTTTCACCGGGTAGTTTGTCTCCGAGTCTAATTTTCTTACCGTTTCAACCTTCCAAGAAATTTGAAAAAATTCCGGAGTACTTGTCAAAGTCTCTACCCCATTGTACAATCGTATCGTTCAGTGAAATCAAATTTTTTGGATAAATATGAAAATTAATTTGGAAAAAATACCGGAGTAAAACTTGACTCGGGTCGTCAAAGACCCAGGGTTAATTCCGTGCATATAAAAATCTGAATCTCTAAGAAAAATTCAAAAGTGTACGGAACAATAGGGAGATTATTTTGAATAAAAATGTTTTTCACTTCAATGAACGAACGGCTCGAAACCGCGGGAACTGTTACGTTGACCTAATGATAAATTAAGGATACTGTTTTGGTCTCGGTTAAAGTACAACCGGCCGGAATCAGATTTCATTCACTGTTTTACCGAAGAGTTAACAATGGTTTGGTTACAGTGGTTGGTAATACGGAAGGCAGCGACTCAGAGGAACTTCTTGGACGTGTCTCGGCACCTTGTAGCGGTTCACCACCGGAATCTCAGCCAATTTTGTTAGAAACAGAGGCGCCACAGGTCGCGGTTGACGCTTCGACTAGCCCTACGCCGGCCACCGGAAATGACGAGCAACCGAGCGCTAGTACAACGAAGCAACTCAGTTTCGAGGTATTATATTAACGGTGTAGCTTGTTGAACAAGGAAACGGGAAGTGGATCGTCGGTTTTCATTTATGTCGCGACTTCCTTTTAAATTTCAAGGATTTCGCCTTGAAACGAGCGATCTTGGACGATAAGAAAGGGTTCCATTTAAATAACAGTGTACAGTCGGTGAACCTCGCCTCTTGCATAGTGTCTCTTTACTTTACCTCACTTCTCTGTTATTTCTCGTTTAGTTTATGGTTTATTGCGCCGTGCTGTGTAACAAAGACGTTATTATCGTCGTTATTTAACAAAGATACGAAAGATTTACGAATTTTTTTCCTTCGATGTAAAAAGGTCTGCGTAATTCTTCTTTTGTGCGTTGATTTATTTAATACTATACCGACATTCCCAAGCTGTTGCGTTTTAATAGCGAGAAATATTTACCGAGACTAATGTATGTGTATGTATATAAATTATTTATTAATACTTGTTTACATTAATTTATAAATATGTACAGATATATGAATTATTTATTAATTAGTGTACGGAAGTTTATAAAGTATTGTATTTACAGACAATTCGAGCGAATATCCTCTTAACAGAGATCGTGGCAGAGATTCTGGTTAAAATGTGACAACAATAGTTATATTATTGAGAAAAATTAATTTTAATTGGCAGAGGATTACTGAATGTAATTAATCTGTGACTGATTAGATTTTGTTACCTGATACAGTACTAAAAAAGAGAAATGGCTGACGCTTAGATGCATAGTCAGAAAAGAAATCATATGTTAAGGGGTTAATCTTCACTTCTTAATTTTCCTTGAAACGCATGATCTAAGCATTTATCATTACATCGTCATCTCTCACAGTAAACGTAGTTCGTTTTAAATAAAAAGTATCTCATTTTCTAAAAACAATCACTCTCGCAAATTTCTGAGTTCCGCTACTTTTCCACAGTGAAAAGCAACCAAAGAAAAGTGTTCCAATGTCATTTACGATATTTCACAGAAAGTGTCCCGTTTTCTGAAAACAATCACTCTCCCAAACTTTCGAATTTTAACCCTTTGCACTCGAGTGGAGTCGACGTTATCGTTTACCACTTGATAAATAATTAATCGAGGCTCTCTCGAAGCCTTGAACTTTACAGGACACCAGGTCTGTTGGCCTCTCACAAGTGTCTAAACGGTGAAATAATTTGAAAGAACCAACTTCTAACGAAATGTCACGAAGTATTGTATAAAATAAAAATACATTAAACATTGAAATAAAACAGTTGTATTAGTTAACACAAGACAGGGTCACAGGTTAACAGGGCCACAAGAAAATTTTCATTATTCTAAGCATAATATATCATGCTTCGTTTATTTTCTCTTTTTAACGATGTTCGAAATGTTTATTTAACGATAGTCATTTTATTTTAAATATTCTAAACATTTAAGTTACTCCGGTCACAGTTGACCAACGTGGCAGTCGACCTATTAATAAATGTACAGTTTATTTCTGTGTTGATTTGAAAAAATTCCATCAATTTTCAATCCAACAAACATCAATATCTCAGCATAACCAAGCACCAAGATTTGCTTTCTTCCCTCCAGTAAAAAGATGTTGGAGTGCAAAGGGGTTGATACCTCACCTCACGCTGAAAAGGAAATTTCATCGAAGAGAAAAAATATCGAGCATCGAGAAAATTGGATAAAAATTGTACGTAACGATATTTCATCTTGTGAACAGGAATTCGAATGCGACGTTTCGGTAGCGGAGGGCGATCGGCGACGGCAAGAATTCTCGTTCACCCTGTACGACTTCGACGGCCACGGGAAGATAACAAAGGACGACATAGCCGGCCTGGTCACTACCATTTACGATACCCTGGGCGCTTCCATCCAGGTACCACCGTGCGGCAGTAAGACGATTAAGGTGAAATTGACTGTGTCGCCGGATCAGAGAGGCAGCCAGCAGCAGACGCGATCGGGCGGCGGTTGTCTGAACGCTGCTGCTGCTGTTGCCGCCGCCGCTGCTGCTACGACGACGACGACGTCCTCGCAGCCGGTTGCTGCCGCTGCTGCTGCTGCTGCGAGCTTTTCCGGAAATTCGTCCTGCTGCCATTTGAAGCACGCGTCCTGTAACAATGCCGGGGCGGCCCACAGCGGCGCACACGGTTTACGTAGAGTTCCTAGAAGGAGAAGGGTGCCACGACACCGTTGCCAG